TAGATATATAAGCGCTTGGTAAAAGGTATGAAGAGAATTACGATATATTTACTAAATTTAAGAATAACTTTTTTACCAAAATTGCTTTGTCATAAATCGAGCTCATATACATTCCAGAATTAAATATTTATTAAGATATTAGTCTACATTAGTGTATCTATTCCAAGACAACGAATGTATGATATTATATTTATCTATAGATATATATTTTTATATTTTCATCTCACATTCTTAATTTTTTAATATTTAACAATAACCTAAGTCAAGAAAAAAGTTTTAATGTTTTCAATTATTTTTTAGTATCCCATGTTTCATCTATCTTACTTGTACAAGATAGGATATAATTTTCATACATACAATGTCTCAAAATTATAATAAAAAGGTAAAGTATTTACCGGTACGATGCGTAGCGGAGTTATAGTAAACGTTGATCTGCAAAATATAAATATATTCAAGTTATAATAAAATAATAAATTATAATTAGTTATAATAAAATAATTATTTTAAAAAATAATTACTGCACGTAAATTTTATTCGTGTTACAAATTACATAATGTAAATTTTTTAAATATAAATTTTTGTAAAATGTTTGATAAAGATCTGTGTAATAAATAATAGATAAATAATAAACTACTAACCTTCGGGTTGCTCCGCTATTGCCCGATGCCTTCCCCGGCCTCCTCCTCCTCTCAGTTTTCTTTATTGCTTCTTCATGGCACTTACATAACACTCACTCGCGAAAACGAAGTTAATTAGATTTACGCAATATTTTAAATTGTCGACGCGCGTTAATCGCTCGCGATACGTATTGTATTATAAATTATATTATAAAAATAAAGAAAGAACGACGCGAGGAAAGCAACCAAAAAGTTTGCGCGAAACTACGATCTATTCAATATCCAAATTTCGTAATTCGTACCATTAACAAATACTAAAATACGGATTTAATTACGGATCGAATTAATTAATCGCGCGAGATGACGTTCCGAAAGATAACGCGACGAAATACGGAGCAGCACGCACCACCACCTGCTCGTTCGATTATATCGGCGTGCGAACGAGAGTGCAGCAACCTTATAGGTTAGATCTATTCTACAATATGTCGCTGTCGGATATCGGAACGCATTACGGAGCCGACGCGACGGTGAACAAAGTTCCCTCCAGTGAGAGAATTATTTTTCGGAAACGACTTCTCAATCTTTTCTCATTGGATCATCGGCAGCGTAGTGTGTTCCGATATCCGACAGCGATATACAATGTAGGTACTGTAGAACAGGCCTTACGAAAACTCGCAGCGCGCGCGTTTGCTAGAGCGGCGGCGGCGGCGGCGGCGGCGGCGCGGCCTTTATATGTAAATGATTTGACGAACTGACAAGAAATTTGAAGCACGATAGCTATCACCTCGACACGCTTGCGAATCGTCAATCGAATTGATTAATCGTGCGTGATAACGATCTGTCAACTATCCGTAGGAAAAACCGAAAGATAATGCGGCGAAATACGGAGCGGGGCACGCACCACTACCTGTCCGTTCGAGTGCCGGCGTACGAATGATAGCGCGGCGACCTTACGAAAACACCTCGGCGCGCAGCGGCGGTTTTTTTTTGTAAACATGGCACGCAGTACGACGTGAGACAACAAAATGCCTTCAATCAAATTATCGTCACCTCGAAGTAATACTTTTAAAATTCTAAAATCTATTCACGCCAAATATTCCTTTAAATTTCCAAGAATAGTTTATCGCGCATTTTGTGTTTTATATTGTAGATTTTTTCGTATCGCATGGCAATAATTGAGTTGCTGGGTTGGGAATTTTCATTAAAGAAAAATCAAATAATTTTTCTGTAACAAGCAAAAATCGTTGTTGATAATAATATTGTTAATATCAACCGATTGTTATAATGTATGTAATTGTAAGTAAAATTCACTTCATATAACAATTTGAATCAGATTCTGCTATTCTATTTATAATTTTATATATCGCGCATTGTAACGTATCTATGTATTTTAATGCTTTAAATGTTTTTCGTATTACACGGTATATAGAATTATAAATGGAATTTTATCTTGTATTCTGATGCAATTATAGATCATTTAAAAAGATATTAAAAAAACAAAAAACAGAATTAATATTATTTAAATTGCGAAAATCAATAATAGATCGCCGCTAAGAAGCGCGATATTATCGCACAACTTCGATCTGCAACCTCAACATTTTCATATTAAGATTTTCCATTTAAATTAATTTCTAGATTATAATATTACATTTTGAGAAACATTTTACATGGCCAATAAAAATTCATTGCATGGTTTCTCGATTTAAAAAAAATATGTTTGTTAAAAAAAAGCATTGTTCAAATGCATAATTTATTATGATATATTTTATATATATGTTGCGATATATGCAGACATGTAACATGTTACAAGGTGTAAACCTTGAATGTATTTCATCAATCTTTCCCGAAGTATTAAATGTATTCTTTCCTTGAAAGCTTATCGTGTACCGGGTAAGTAGATGGATCAAGAGCTCTCTGTCTTTTTCTATCATGCATTTTAATGTATAGCTGTGCATGGATCAATCCTGTTGCTACAATATTACTTCCTGTCTCAACGAAGCAACAAGTTCTACTATCCACTCTCGTGGATATCGATTAAATATATTTTTTTCTCGATTTACACGACAGAGATTCAAAGATTCTAATTTTAATTATGTATCAATTTTAGATTTAATTACAAAATTTTATATATATAATAAAAAATAACTTATCTTCATTTATATCTTATCGTATGTAACGCTTACGTTTCATCGAAGTTTAATAAATAACGTTTTTGATAAACACCTTTATATTGAACGACAACCCAATGCATATTTCAAAACATAATACATTGATCGACGAACGTATCGCGTTATCTTCGATTCAAGATGAAACGATCGAAGTAAGTTAAATTCAAAGAACGAGGATTCTTCTAATGAACACTCCTTCGAGCATTTATAGGTAGCGATATCAGTTCTTGCGGAAGAAACGAGAGAGCTGCAGGCTCCATGCTCCATCAAACCATTCAACGTATGTAATTAAATGCATCTCGCGCCAGACGCTCTTTTATTTTTGCCCGTTCCACTTGTGTCGCTAATCGAAGTAGGGCGCCACATCGATTTTGGCCGTATCCGGAGCGCAGTGCCAAATATCACGTAAAAGGGCGCAACCGGGTTCTCCATTTCTCGAGACGCCGATCTAAAATAGGACCAGACAGAAACGCGGACGGAGGCGGAGGTGTGCAAATAAGTAATGAGCATCGCGTTATCCTCGAGGATAAAGATGAGATTAATAAGACGCCTAGTAACGAGGACAGTTATCAGAACGCTCCGCGGCCCGTTTAAATCCCGTGTTCTCGATCTATCTCACCGCTTTACGCTCCTTTTCTCTACATTTATCTTACTAAAGCTATAATTCTTTTCTCCCTGCCTTTCCTACTCCGCTCCGCAACAGCTACGGGATTTTTAACCGAGAATTTTAACGATCGACCTACATTTCCGCGCCCCATTTACGGTATATCCTACGGTAATGTCAAACACCCGCGATAAATATGCTAGCGGGACCAACTGTGATCACCGCTGTAAGGACAAACAGCAATGCAACGGCACGGTTAGACGATTATCGGGATACCTACGTCGGAATAGTTTGCGGAAAATCGCCGACACAAATCGTCCGACACCGATCGATCTTTTCGCGGATTTCACAGGCTTTTATATTTAGAAGCCACCGCTTTTATATTTAGAAACCACCGAATATATCTCGCTGCCACATAAATTGCCACATAAATGCATGCAAGTGATACACATACTTGTGCATATGCGAAATTATTTTCGCATACGTGTAAAATTTGATGGCACATATTGTGTCAACTAAAATAATATAATAATCGTCGTATAATTAAATATTCTTATAACAATTATCATACACTTTAAAAATTCCGACAATACTTATCAGAATTAATTTACAAATTATTTTATGTATAGAATATCCCGTTATCATCAAGCAATATTTTGAGAGTATATCCTGAAGATTAATGAAAATCAAAATCATGATATAAAAGCATTATGTCAGAATGCTGTTAAGTTAAAACTAATTACAACCTCAACAGTTTCGTACACTGAGAAAAAAATATTTTAATCCAAAAAAATATTTATTAGGTGGCTCCTAATAGCATTATTTACTTACTTTTTACACATATTTATTTAGAATTAGATATTTTTATTTAATTGAAATAAAAATATCTAATTCTATCTAATAAATATTTTTTTAGATTTTTTCTCAGTGTATCAGGACTTTCGATTCTAATTAACTCTCTGAGTATATCGTTAAAATATTATATAATGATTACGAGATACACGATATAGCTTCTTCTATCAATTTATAGTTAGTCTTAAGAAATCACTTTGTATAATTCAAGCTGTAATTAATCAATACTTCCTATTTTCTTATTAATTGGATTCATTCACGTGCACAATTGAAAAATCGTTATTGATACATAATGATAGACGCGAATTAAGTCGCGCCTGATTTACGTTTACGCTTGGATAATTACAAATGCGGCGCAGTCCATAGCTACCGATCGATTTAGCAATAACTGCTTGACGCAACAATGCAATCTCAAGCTATTGCAATTCCCGACATTAAGCAAAAAAATATTTCAAGCACAAATTATTCGTTAATAAATTGAATTTATATCAAGAATTGATTTAAAACGTATCGATTGCTTTTTTCACAATTTTCTTAATACCGGTGACGTACATGTAAAGTGATTGTGTGTAAATTAAGATGTAAAACTGATATAAAAATCTTTCTTTTTATAGTATTGCGTCACTTAATATATTCAGAAAGTTAATTAAAATCGAAAGTCCTGATACGAATAATTTAAATCAAAAAGACTAGCTTGTAACAGAAGCAAGTCGTTTGTTCCAGCGTTAATTGTCTGACTTTAAATCACAATGTACTCACCCTCATATGCGGCTGGACCAATAATTCGTGAAGTTCTCGAAGATCGGCTCTATCGATATTTCGCACCGCCGAATGCTCTGCTTCCCGAAGGATCTCTTCAACCTCACGAGCACGTTGGACCGCATCCGTCTGCGGTGCTCGATACGGTGCTGGTACACGGCCTGAGATTCTATCATAAAGCTGAAAATTAAACATATCTACATCAATAGGAGTTCCCCCGATTTCTTTTGTAATTATTATTTTTTGTTAGCATTTGTGCAATCTCACATTTGTCTAACAAAAATAAATTATTGTCATACATTTTCCAAAATGTGACCGATTTAAATTAAACAGTTAAAATATTCGATTTTATTTTTATTAAAATGCTAAAAAGTATAGCATTTTAATAATTAACGAAAACCTTATTAAAGCTATCTAACAATTAGTATTCAAACTTTTCTGTGCCATTGTTTACCTCATTTTATTTCAAGAAATATTCTTATGAGAACGCAATATATAAAAAATTACTTTAAATCATAAATAACACATAAATATAATACAATAAAAAATTGAGTTTATCGAGAGGGTTGAAAATCAAGATAATTATAATGTTATTAGACGGTATACGGAAGTTGAAAATAGTTCACAAGCGATCCATGAGATGTCCTGATTATACAGCAGACGCGCTTAAATTTGCTTGCGAGCAACCGGTGTCACTTTATTTCCATAACTTCAAAACTTGCCGGACTTTTAACCGCTGGCAATACGCACCCTTATATTTCTGCCGAATCGAACAGATTTACTCACCAGGAGACCCGCGATTTCGAGCAGGTCGCCGGCTAGCTCGGCGTCGCCGATGAACATCAACTGACAGAGGTGCATCTCTGCCGCATATAAACAGTGCACTAGTAAGCCTAGGACCGCACTAGGACCACGTGTGCAGCATGGTCCCAGCACGTGGCTCGTTTCGGCCACGTGACACTTCAAGAACCACCGAGGAACGGGTTTACATTTGTACGCGCGTTGCCGCGACAGTGCGATCCTTCGATCGTGCGCGGCATGTTGTTTATCGGGATTGACAGGATTCCACGATTTCCACGGCGGCCATCTTGCCAGTCCGGAGCATCAGGCAGCGCTTGCGTGCTTTTCCTCAAAAGGAACGAGAGTGGGCAGTTCCCGTTCCCGCGGGATATCCCGCAGGGGTTTACGTTATCCCTCGCGGTCGAGGGGAGGATCGCCGAGGGAAAGTCGAGGGATGCGTGGCTCCGCTCTCAGTGGAAAAGCTCAAGCTCTGCAGCGACGGGACTCGACCGCGCGAAAAGGGATGCTGTCCAAGATGGCTGCCGATTCGGGCGGGTTGAAAGACAAATTCAAACGTTGCGCGAGCGTCGCACGGAAGGGGTTGACGGTCGTTACCCACACTTGATAAGAAATATTCTGTTTTATCCTACGCGCCGCAAAGGCATTCTCTGTTTCTGTTACTTGCAATTGATTGCAGAAAATTTTACTGTTTTGATAAGAATAAATGACGTAAAAATAATTTGAGACGTGAGAACGAAAGTTCAATTATGAAATGCTCATCTGTGAGATAGTTACACGAAGAAAAGAATTGTTTGAATGAATAAAACTGACGATGCTCCTCGTTCAAAAGAAACGTCAATTAGTTGAGTAAAATTTTGCAATAAAGATGATATTGTATAAAATGATACTATTAACATATAAATATTATTGTATTGTATTTAAAAAAAGAGAATAGATCCATTATACAGTAAACTTTTTCTGAATTTTCATTGAATTAGGAACAAGAATTTTGCTTTCTCCTTGGAAAAATTAAGCGGCCCGCTTATTTCAATTTTCATCTCGATATCACGATGGAATCATAAAGAAAATTGCTAAAAATTTTCCATAATTTTTTATATTTAAATAAATAAACTCCTTTACCCCCAACCTGCACAGAATCAAGGACTAACTTATTACCGGATGAGACTCGATCGTAATTACAGAAATTCATACAACAAAATAATAATTATAAATAAAGATAAGATGTAGCAATCGATTGTCGCACAGTCGGAAGATAATCGCATTGTCTAATTAAGGCCAACTTATGTTGAATATCTCAAGTTGTTGAGGGACATACATATTAACATTTTCGCAATAAATACGTGATAATTTGCACAATTTGCAATTAAATTAATATTACCTGTTTGACAAGCGAAAAGTTTGAATACTGAAATTTAGATTTTCTTAACTCATTACAATCTTTTAATCATCTTATTTTTTCACTCGCTTAACCAGTTCAATATGTTCTTGTCATTTTTCATATAATTATGAGTTGTCGTAAAAAATACCTCTAAAATGGCCCGAAGCCGATGATCATCGATGGTGTTGATAACTTCCGACCGCAATAGTCTGTCACTGTCCTCGAGGATCTCAATGTCATCCAAACAATCCACAATTTCGGCCACAGCACCTATAACATGAGAATGTGTGAAATATTGGTTTTATGAAACGCGTCGTTAATTCACTAACTCATATTCTAATTGCAATCTTTTATACAGTGATAAACTATGTTGATAAGAAAACAAAGTTCACTGTTAAGCCGGATGATAAAGCGAGCAAGCGCGAATACGCAGACAATTCATACTGGCAATGCCGTTTGCACTCATTAAAGCAAATTATTCACTCGTGCTTATTCGCGCTCATTTGCTTGGTCTGTATTCATTAACGCAATATTCGCGGAAATAATTCCAAATTACGCGATATCATCGATCTTTCATTGTTGAAATACTAAACTCAGAGCGCGTGAATGAAATATTAGCCATATATATTATCATTGCTTTGATCGTTATAAAAATATCAGACGCAATTAAGCGCACATGTAAAGGGCTTCTGAATTTTTGCCGAAGAAATTGACGAAGTTCAATGTTAACAAAATCTCAATTCGACGGTATCTATTATTTATAATTTTCTTTTTTAACAATGCGCGGACACCGTCTTTTAAAGCATACATTTTTCATTTATGATTTCCAAAGGAATGGCTCCAACACTCTAAAAAAAAAATTGCAACAGCTTCGACTTATGTAAGTAAAGAAATCACTTTTTGAAACCTTAAAGATGATACGTGAATTTTTACAAATTTCTTTATAACACAAAAACGCTTTCAAAAACCCTTTGGACCAAGTCTCAGGGTGTCCGGGTGCTTCAAAAACACGGGTGTCCGCGCAGTGTTAATTTCTAACATTGTACATCTCTGAGAGTCAAACAATAAAATGATAAATGATTTAAAATTCTATTAAATAAAATTTATATTTGTCTTCCTTGTAGATTAAACCATGCGTCGAGAAAAACACTTTTATCTACATGACATTTTACAGTATTTGTATCAGAAATGAAATTCCGAGCTCGCTCGTTTTCGATGTACCTGTAGTTATCTCGTCATCGCCGACGTCAGAGAAATTGTCGCCATTAGCTTCGGAATACGGAGCGTGCCATTTCGAGGAGGAGACGGCTGCTTTTACGGCCTCCTTCAATTTTCGCCTCGCATTAAATTTCTTAAGCTCGTCTATAGTGTCACCTAAGTGTACACGGGCTGCACCCTTATCACGATCCTGCAAGTTAAGATCCGTTCATTCGCGATAAAACAAGCATTGTAAAATAAGAAATGACCATGCTGTCATCTACGAGAACGCACAATGAGATACACATGGCAAATTTAACAAATAAATAACTAATTGAGCGCTAATCAATCGCTTTAAAAATAAGTAAAAATTTGTTAATAAAAGTTCAGATGCGTGTAATAACGGCAACGTAAACATTGTAAAAAAAAAAATGCTGAACTAGCGGGCAGCCGAGTAATGTGCAATTATTTTCCCTCCCTGCAATCGGGGCGTGTTATACACCGCCATAGAGAAGCGAGAGGAGAGAGAGACAGAGAGATTATACTTGTTTCTCTCCACGAAGTCTACGGGGGTTCGACGAACGTACAGCCGCATAAAAAAGCCCTAAGCAGTGCACACCGAGAGCGCGCGAGGTGTATACTTTACTATAGTTATTTTCATTAACCGCCGGAGGCTTCGCTCCCGCTATATAGCGATCGATAGCCCAGTTGCACGTGTGTTGCGTCGAACAAGTATGGGGGTGACTCCGCGAGAGTGTTCCTACCTTAGGTCACTGGCTAACTGTTGCACCACATAGGTATACCCCCTCGCACCACCATACGGCGCGCGCGCGCGTGCGCACGCACATTCATTGGAGATAATAAGCAGGAACGAGGCCACGTGTATTATATATATAGATATATATATAATAAATATATAATATATATAAAATATATATATATATATGCACGGCGTAATTATGAAAAAATAAAACCCGATGTACTATCACCGGCGATGAAACGGAAGCCGCTACATCGATTATCCCCATCAGGAGTTGTGCGGCGTGACGTAGAATGCTGATCGTCACCCCGAACGCCCGCGCGAACGGATTATAATACGGATATCAAACCGCGAGATATTTCTCCTGCGTGCTCCCCCGCGATTCAGATAGAAATACCGAATCGAATCGAATCGAATCGAATCGAATCAAAGCGCGGATCCGAACCACTTCACTTACTCTGAGCCACTTGTGGTTGAGGACCTCTTGGATGGTGATCCTATGATTTACGTCGGTCGTGAGCATTCTCTGTATAAGGTCCTTCGCCGAATCGCTGATGGGATCCCAGAGTGGTGTCTCCATCTGCAAATTCAATTAAATCGGAATTATTCGTCGCGAACGGAGTTGCGCGGGCGTTGTTAAAATTCCCGAAACGCTTCGTCTCATCCGCGATTAGCGGCGCGGCGTAAGACCGCAAGATCTGGCGTATAAGATTACCTGCACCCGCCCTCGACAGATCGCTTCCCGCAGCCTGTCCCGAGACCCGACGAACGGAAGCGTACCAGTTAGCAGAACATGTAGCAGCACTCCGGCCGACCAGACGTCACCGGGCTTCCCATATTGTCGCCGTTGAATCACTTCCGGCGCCATGAAGTGCGGACATCCGACACGACCTGCGCGACCAAGAGCATCGTCAGCGAAAAAGGGGGATGAAACACGCGCTAATATGACCGATGCAGAATGGAAGCGAGGCATATGAGCGATTGCTCGGAAACTTCGCAGTCGATCGTTACGTAAAACGGAAACGTGTTTGCGACAAGATAGACACACGAATTTGTCAGCCGAATCACAAGCATCTGTATTTGATTTTCCCTCGATTTTACGACTGTACATATGTATAAGACAAATAATCGGCAGCTCTCTCTCGCGCACTTGCACACACACTTGCACACACAGACTCTCTCTCTCACTATCAAATCGATCGCCCATGGCGAGAGAATCCAAATTACGCAAATTGTTTATCGTTATTATCGGGAACGTCGGATCGACTGGACGTATTAATAATTATAATTAATGGCAAGGAACGAACGTCAAATGCAAAGGGCTACTGCATTCCTCGAAAACAAATACACCTGTCATAAAAGTAGCCGATTCACCGATATATAGGCACAAACGTCGTTCACAGACGATAACCAACGTGCTAACTTACTTTCAACAATCTATATTTATTAAGAATCGGTAAATGACACAGAAAGCGGCACGAGAGGAAATGTAGGTCACTGCACATTGAAAAGTGTATACATGGGAAAAGATGAGATGATTAAGGCTGTAAAGCAAAGACGACATAATTGCGTTCGCGAGTATATCGTTGAACATTAGAAAAATTTTCATTTAAATATCGTGTTATTTTACATATGCGAAAAATCTGACACGCGGCATATGATTATTTATATCAATGAGGTTATCGTATAAAAAACCGTGGATTTAAAAGTATGTAAAAAAATGTATATACGATAAATAGATGTATATAATAAATACGTCCAATTTTTTGATATTTAATTTTTTCATACAAATATTTGACTAGAGACTCTGTATGTAACATATACTTCTATATACTTCTAAGTAAATCTATATACTTCTATAGCTATGCTATTCTATATAGAATAGACTCCTTAGCTGTATTTCATCTAAATTCTTTGTTTATGTAATAAAAAGAGATATTTTAGATATTGTTTGTATTGTGTAAATATGTATTAATTTCTACTCATATATATATGAATAGATCCTACCATTATATGAATAATAATATATTCTTGTGAAGTATTAAATGTGTTAAGTAAAATGTTAATATAAATAAATATTTATGTTCTCCGTCATTTTACAACAATGTAATGATCAAATTTTTCCAATAATAATATAACATTGTAATCCTATAATACTATAAAATTGTGGAGTAATTAATAAAGAGCTTAAATTGATAAAAAAAAAACAATTTTTAATTAATTCATCTTTCTGTAATACACGTTTAATTAAATAAATAATTTAAGATATTAATAAACATATTTAATCTATAAAACATGTTTAATCTTATACATATAACGTAATATACTTGAATAGACAAAAAGTAAATGGTGCCGGTGCAGAGGGAAACTGAGGGAAACCGATTAGTTATTCCGGTGAACGTAATGAGTAAAAAAGTAAATGTAATATTTCAATAGAAACGCAAACAAATATATAATGGTTTTAATGGTGCCATAATCGGGTGCCAAAATACACAAACACACACATTTAAAAACAAATTTTCATGCGATTTCACATCAAGAGCATGCAGGGTTTATTTGATTTCAGAACGTAAATTTAATAATGAGAGACATGGGCGATAAATTTTTTAAAAAATTATCTTGTTAATAAAAAATATAACTGTCGATAAAGACATTTCAAATTGGTGTTGTTTATCATTACGTTCGGCTTGGCTACCGCGCGCTTGCCGTTGCATGATTTTAATTACTCGCTTTTTAACAAAAGTAATTAGTTATATGAACGAAGCGACAAGTTAATAACATGCATTTTACGCAAGTGTAATTTAGAGATACAGGATGATACACGAGTGGTCTGGGAAATTTCCAGCACAATGTCATGGCAGGAATATTTATTTCGAGAAAAACATGTTACGTATGAGCATACGTGCTAAATAATGCACAATAATGAACGTTGTACAAACGACTCTACACAGAAAACAAGAAAGTAACAAATCAACACTTATATATTTGTATATACACAAGAATATATAATCTTGAAATGAAATTATGTTGCATTGAACGAAGAAAACTTGCTTGAAGTCATTTATAGTTAAACGAAGTTTTATATAGTTCAATCAAGGAAACAAAGTTGAAATAAAAAGTTGAAATTCTTATAAGAAGATTATACTTATATTCTTGCGTATACATATACAAGTATATATCAGTATTGATTTGACACTTCTTTATTTCTGTGTAGATTAATCGCGTCTAAAACCTGACTTTACAATGTTTTCTGAGAGAATTTCATATATAATCCCGATATCTTCCGTTCCATTCGTGAGTCAGTCCGTCTATCTTATATTTTATCATATTTAAGACTTAAAAATAATTAAAATATTATTTTATATTTATATTCAATATACTCTTCAATATACTCTTCTTACCAGATAAAACTCAAAATCAAATCGTACTTATGACAAGTGCGCTATAAAATGTCGTTGATCTAATATACTTATTCTGTGCTATTTTTAACGTTTGTCTTCGGTTTGAAAAACAAAGATTATACTTTTGCGCAATATAACGGATAAACTATCGCGTTTCGTAGACACATTATAAATCGTAAAATGCGATAACATTGCACACTCTAAATAATCGAGTTTCATCATAAAAGAAAAAGTATTATAACGTAAGCTCTTTATTAAGGGATATGACATTTTCAATAACAAATTGCTTGCCATGATGATGCAAGAAATGATTGCGTAAAATGTCAATTTGAGATTGTGCGTAGTTATATCCTGACCGTATGATTTATTGTTGGGAAATATTATTTTTTGTAAACAAAGATATTATAGTGAAAAATCCAAACGTGTTTTAATTGGAATTCGTACATCTGAAACTGCTTCTGGTTTTATTAACGATATATTCGATCGAGAAAAACGCTACATTCTGTATTTCTATATTTTCTATCGCGCGTTTGCCTTTACCATCGTATAAATAACATTTCGCAAATACTCGCAAACAAAATAGTATTATCTGACGCGGCGACTAGTTTCAATTTGTCATCGATAAGTGATGAAAGACAAACACAAAGCGGCATACAAATAGACAGACACACGCAGACACACAGGCTAGTCTACCGCTACGAACAATGACGACATAAACAGGCCCAAATAACGCGGGCAATTAGTTCACCAGACTCAGAAATAGGTAAACCAATTGAAGGGTTTGTTACTTTTAACTAAAATATAATTATTACATGTGCAAGAGAGAGAAAGAGAGAAAGAGAGAGAGAGAGAGAGAGAGAGAAAAAACAAATCTGTCAAAAATAAGATAAAAAATTTTCACTCGAAAACGATAATCCGTTCATCATTATCGACAGTACATACTACATTATACCAATAATACATATCAAATAAATTCACCGATTCAATAATTGCATTTATCGATTACAATAACAGTAAATGTGACATGTTGTGTAAATCCTAGCGCTGAATCCATATAGAACCGTGTAAATTATTTTAATTTAATGTCATCATATAAACAGGTATAAAGTTGATCCATTTCTATATTTTGTTATCGATTATTTTCTGTAATAGAACGTTATTTTTTTCCTATAATTTTGTACTCTCCAAATTGGACACACGCCTGTTAATAATAATAATAATGTATATGTTACTTACGGTAAACTAATTAGCCATCATCCAAAGTGTATATTGACGATTGCGTTATAGACACAGAAATTTAAACAACTCAGTTAGAAACTGATACGTGGTTACGGGTAAACTCGAAAACCGCAGAGTAAATTCGGCCACTATCCAAATTCGTTATTGCAGACAACATGTCCGTATTTGATTTCTACAGTTTCAACATCCTCTTTTTTTAAAAAAAAAAAAGGTTACGTTTACTCGAGAGATTACGCCTACGGATTGGATTGGCCAGAGATAACGATCGCCAATTTCCAGTAAACACAGAAAAACCGAAAATGTCAAAAGCGAGCGTTTTTAGCTCTATTTAAAAAGGTGGCATTTATATCATGTTGACGAAACGAAATAAATTTAATGACGCGAGTCGTAACGAACCCTTCAATTCTGTCAAGGACTTATCCCAATCCTACAACGATGAAGCAGAGCTTGTGCCATTCGCGCGTTACAAAATCAGGACACGCGGACGACAGGGGGGAACAGAAAAAAAGGGGAAGGAGTCGTTCTCTCGCTCGCTTCCCCTATACGATGGGCACAAACAAATATCTGTTACTACGCGACCTCCACAAAATGATATCACAGGAATACTGGCTATATCGCACGTGGATCGAGTGTCTATACAGACACTACACGTTCTCAAACTAACATAACTATACCACACGGGGGGGTAGAACGTGCCAATATGCCTCAAACGAGGGTAATCACGAAACTGAGCTAATCGATCGCGCGACAATTACGAAATGCTACGCATTCATGGTGCGCGCTTCGCTCACGAAAATGAACTCGGAGCCATTTCCCGCTGAGATATTACTACATATATCGTCATTTCGCCAGACTCGTGGACTCGCCACGTGAATTTCTTTCTTTCCCACGTACAGGATGCTCCGCGGCGAATAAACCAATCGTTATGTCAATAGCAGGGTAAGTTGGATAAAAACTGATCATTCGGAAGAAATGGATTCGTACGTATAACATCCCTTTGATTCTTAACGAAATGCTCTCATACATGTAATACCTCTTTCGTATCCTCGATATCTTTTAAAATGTACGCGATTGAAGCAAGTTATACGGAACATCCTGTACATGTCTGGCCTTGTCGTTGACGGAAACAATTCTTAATAATGTTTTACGATCGCAGTGGCGTTGTACAAGGAGCCGAGAGCTACGTTCAAGAACGCGGAAAGGAGTTATCCCTTTTTAGGCAGAGACGCGAATACTTTCTCGTTTCTACCCCCGACTGTGGTAAATCATCAGACGTTATGTAGATGTGGCAGGCAATATGGATACCGATATTGTCCTCCGTGTCGCTCACTAGCGAATCCTCGGCGTCGGTCAGGTCCTCAAAAGGGAAATTGCAGCTCGAAGAGATCAGGCCTATCGAAAGAACACAGAGAGAAAGGAGAAGGATTGTTATCGTCACGATAATATCGCGCTGTGCGCGACTGACGCGGTTTCACGGGCGGATAAGATGCTTCTTTATCGTGTCAACGCCGCTATCCGTAGGAGGAAGACCGACCTATGGCTGTTGGGTGCCGTTGCTTTTGTTTAAGGAATCAAACTCGCGCGGATCAAAGCGCTAGTTCGATCAGCCTGAGGAGTCGGCTTTACTCACCTCAATCAACAAAATTCTCTGGTGGTGTGTGTGTGCGTCTATTGGTATATAAAATGTCGAGCTTGGCATATACATCTCCGCGACGTTTTGTATAAGTTTACTTGTATTGTACGGTAAATATAGAGTAACCTATCGTATGATCCTGTTTAGTATAAAATCTGTATAAAGACCGTGTCGAATTAGCTTGCTTTAATTCGTTCGTTTCGTAATCTCACATAAAACGTTCGACAAATCTTTTCAACGATATCTCGATTAATCACCTATATACACTTCCGCCGAAACGACATTTTGCGGCGATCATCCTAGAAAAACATGTGTTATCGGATAATTTTTGAATGATTGCGAAAAATGTATCACTTATAGATGAACAATTATCATTTTTAATTTTTTTTTTTTTCAATACAATTAAAATTTTTATTCTCATTCACGTTTTTAATTCCGCTTCAGATATACGTACTGCTGAAGAGTCGCTCAAGACAATATCAGCGAAGCTGTATCTAATAAAAAGTGTTATATACAATCCGAGAATGACATCCAGTATAAATTCAACAAATTTGTAAACCAGATACATCCGAGAAAAATAATAAATGTGCATGTACATATATTAATATATTAAACAATATGTAATTTTTAATATATTAATATGTAAAATATTAGCCAAGTCATATATATTAATGAGTTAGCCAAGTCAAAGTGAATATTCGAACTCGTAAAGCAAGCAAGCAAGCGGTGGCAGCTTCTAGAGTACAGTGACGTGATATGGTGACGGTGATAGTGATAGTGATAGAGGAGTACACGGAATGGGTGAGAATGTGGCATAATACAATATGTGTGTGGATAAGTGTGTATACGTGTAATATATATATGTGGCGTGATGAGACAAGGCTCCTGCGAAAGTAATGATTAAAGGTTAGATCAAGCTTACCCTCGCTGTCGGCCTTCAAGTAGAGCTGCCCCTTTGGGCTCAGACACTGCCGATACTCGGTCGTGTAACACGCTGTATTCATTCAAACCAAATTTCACGTTATCAGAATGTAATCGGGCAACGCGCCTGATTTTTTTTTCTTCGCTGCCTAATGCAATCCGTAATGAAAATGGGAAAAACGTGAAAACTCTAATTGGCACGCATTGGTACTCGCGTCTATTTTTTTTTTTTCTCTCCTCCGTTACTCTCTGCATGACGATGTCGCGCGCGAATCCAAGCGGTATACGCGCGCAAAGAGCCGCGGGAATGAAACATTTAGCTTTGCGGAAAATAAGCATGATGGAGCGTTGAGGGAGACGTCGCGCGGCAACGTTATGCGTATTTAATCACGCTGTCGGAAACTTTTTGTTTAAGGCGGACTCGTAATCCCAGCGGCGAGCGCTGTCTCTCGTTTGCGAAACTCGGTATATGAAAAAGTTGCGCGTCCCAGTTTACACGACACGGTTTTCCAGTCAATCTCTGGCCTATGTATTTGGAACGCCGTCGGTCTATACTCTCAGAATGCCAAATTAGTTTCGAACTGGGAAGAGCAGGGACGACAGCCGTGTTGGGAGTTGGAGGAGATTAATATCTGGACTTGGTATAATATCGTAACGTCTTAGCAGAACGAGGAGGCAATTAAACCCTATATAGCCAAACCAAAAGTTCTTATCGCTATTAAATTCTATTATTGATCGGCGGAAACCTTTCTACCCCGCGCCTCGTAGTATAAAAGTGTATACGGTGTTAAGTGTCACACTAGATTAGCGACAAACGTTATTGTATATTGTTTTTATGACAATACTTCGAAATAGTTCTTTTAATATAAATGAAAATACTATTATTTTATTATTATTATTATTCACTCATCTATTGTGCTGTTCTGTTTTTTTTTCTTTTTTTTATAACGCATGCTATTATTAAACATTCCTATTTTCAATTAGATATTAATTTCGATTAAATAGTATAAAGCACGTAGAACAAAAGTAAGAGATCAACGGATAACGTGTGTTCTATATCAACAGCTCTTAACGGCGACGTAAAACACGATTGCTGTTATAATTTCGACAATGTGAAAAGTTTCGATATTTCCAATATCGGCTATCGACGTTAACATAACGTAATTATGCGGGATAGCAAAAGATAATTTCCTTCATAATTGAAGACGCTTCTTTAATATCGCATGGCTACAGATGAAATAAACCGCTCGAAGACGTACACGATAACAATAATTGCGCTGATCACGCAAAGGAAATCTAAAATTAGTCCAAGACGGTAGCGGTACAATCTATATATCTACGAGTGTGTCGCTAACAACAAGAGCATCTACAAATGGAACCATGCGATATTGAAGCAGCGAAAGATTGTAAAAGAAAAAATATGCATAGACACCAATCGGCTAATCAGAGAAGAGAGCATCACGGTTGTCAGTAGGGAAGAAATCCGGTAAAAGCTGTTGCATTGTGCACATCGAACACCGAGAAATTTTTTTGAATATGATTTGCCAATCATCGACCAAGCCAGCCAATAATCGCAGAGTTAGGGCATTCAAAAGAGAGACGATCAGACGATACAAAAACACCGAGTGTCTTTGAAGTGACGCTTGATGAGAGCCAAGAACACATTATATCGGTACGAAAAAAAAGAGAAAAACGAATAGAAAAAAGATAAAAATTTAAATTACAAACTCTGAGATAGCAATATTCAATGCACTCTTTGTAGATTTTTTGCCGTTACTCGTTAATATTACTCGTTAATATTACTGAATCGTGTAAGAGTTATTACAGCCATATCTTCATCGGAAATGATATCATAGATCGTAATAGATCGTAAAAAAGATTTTTCTCAGAAGATAAACGGCATAATTTATTCCACGAGAACTTAATCACCTTGATCCAAAGATGCGTCGACATGCATCCACGGCAATAATTTCGTATGGAGACGCGCTCCTCAGTCATCGCTGAATATTTAAAAATTCCTTTTCTTTATAATGCCATATGCGAAAAAGAGGCCGCACAGCTAAACGACATTCGTTTGAACTATAGTCATAATAAATCCAGCTGAATGTCAACAGGTCGGCGATTTAAAAATAGCTTTCTCAGACATTTAAACCTCTTAAATGATAAACGTACAAACACTTAATTAACAAAAGCGTAAATTACTTTAAATAATTTAAAAGATGTACCACGTTTCTCGTAATAAAATAAAATCGACAATATGCTGCATCAACAAATTTTTTGTACACGGCGCGGCGTCACCTAATATTGGATTTTCGGGCTAACGTTGTTTCCGTAGTAAGCCTTGATCTTTTATAGTCCATTAATCTTCAAAAAAAAAAATTAATGTGAGAGATCGCTACAACGCCACAAGAGAAATAGGTCAAATGCATATAAACGGTACGTTTAAAACACTAACTTAATCTCATTTGAAATATATGCCGTGCATAATGCAATTGCTTGAGTTAAAAATATTATTAAAAAATCATGTATATATGTATATTTAATTTGATACATAACAGTTTGTTCAACAAAGAAATTAATACTTCATAAAGATATTAAATAAAAATTTATTCTCTTTTATATAACTAAAGAAATTGTCTTTCTGATAAAATGAGTCATCAAATATACGTGACGACATAATTTGTTAAACCGCTTAATAGTAAATAACCCCGAATGTGTCTTCATGTTTATAGCTGACGAATAATTTGGTACGCAAATTTGGTAGCTTAACTTAATTAACGCTTTAAAAGAATTTAAATAATTAATGTATCTAATGACGTAATTCGCTTCGACTGTTTACCGATAATAGCTTTGATATATACATATAGATATACAAGCATTGAATAGTGCCTCTCAGCTAGTTTGTAAATAGAATAAGCGTATAATTACGCGTAAATAGATTTTATATTAGCGCACATTTTGCTAAATAGAAAAGTAATGTCGGAGCCAGGCCAGGGCCATGTCAGCGAAACTTTGGAAAAAAACTTTTTCTTTCAGTCCACGTTTTCTCATAAAATATCAGAATTCGTGTGAAGTTTAATATACTTGCGTCATTTGTAAAGAGTTCCATTAAGTATAATATTTCGTTCCATTATGGACAAAAGCTCCCATCGGATTACTGGCTATGAAAGTTATTAATCATGGGACAATGATATCATAAATACTTCGAGATGTAATTTCCCTATTGCATCGTCTATGTCAAATATCGCTGTTGCTCTATTTTCGCCTCTCGCCTAATGCCGACACCACTTAAAAATATTATGAAAAATTTAGTAATCTTAATGCTGTCGCGCTAAAAGCGGCACGACGTCAGCTCTCGTGAACTATGCCACGGAATAAAAGGGAAGTGGTCGCGGCATTTGCATAGTCTAGGTAAATTCTCCTTTTTTACGCTTCAACGATTTTATACTTCCGTTCGAGTGATGTTTTCGTTACCATGACTTGATCGATACGTCTGATTCAATATGTTGGAGTAACAAAGAATCTCGAATCGCTCATCGATCAACCGCTATTTTTTGAAGAGATATTTCAAGCAAACTAATTCAAAATATATATACACGTAAAATTTACTACAATTAATTTCACGAAAATGCGTAATTGATTTCCTTCAATTACACATCACTGTGACAGTAATAATATTATTATCTCTCATGTTATTCCGCCTAATAAGAAAATTTTAACACAACGTAAAATATGCAAAAACTTCTTAAGCATCTGGAGAATTCTACTCAATGTAAAAAATGTGATGTTTATACAGAAACGAGAGAGATTTTCAGATAAGATTAATGTTTTCAAGCATTTTAAATCCAATTAAATCCTGATACGTGGCAATTAATATTCTTGGAAAAAAGTAAAAAACGAAAAAAATTAATTCATAAAACTTAGAAGCTTAACAATTATTTTATCAAAGCTATGTTGTAACTATTTTTTCTTGCGTTCAATATCTTAAACGTTAAATTTAAATATTTTTAAAATTAATGTTTAATATTGAAATTCTATTGACGATCAATTTTCTTGGATTTTCCGAATTTTTAACTTTTAATAAGTGCATATATTTAATGGATACTGGCTTAGTACCACTTTTCAAATTAATGAAGTTATTTTTATATGATAATGGTCGTATGCGTCACACATATAGAACTCTGTTAAAAGTTAGTAGAGTATCATTAATAATAGCGAAGTCGGGCGTCCCAGAGCTGAGGTCGCGCGGCTTTCGAAGTGAATCTCTATGCCACGTAAAATAGATCGCGTAAAGAAAACATAAGTGAATTAGAAGAAGGTATGAACGTACCAACGCCATTAGACTGTGAGGTCGGAAGTTGCACGGCAACGCCGAAACCGCGCAGCTTCACCGGGGCGGAATTTTCCTTGCCAGCCAGGAGGGCGCACTGCGGCTTCAGATCACGATGAATAATGTCATTCTCATGGCAGTAACGCAAAGCTTCGAGGATTTGTCGCATGTAGTGACTGTAAAAGAAAATGCAGTTTTCTTAGGTGCCGGCGCTTACACCACACCACCCCTCCCCCCGCACAGCCACACGTCACGAAAGTACACCCTCAGCCGAGAGAACAATAGCGAAGGCCGCACGGGACACAAGCATTTGCGCGCGACACACAGAAGCCGAAGTCCTTTCCGAGAATTGAAATAGAGAGATTAAGACATGCCTCGTTACTCACGTAATGATTTTACGACACAAAGATTTAGCAAAATCCATCCAGATCGATAAAAAGCCAGGGTATAGTAAATAATATAAATCCAAATCCGAATTTTGTTTGTTATAAACAAGTATAAAATATATAATAATAGACTATATTAATAATGTTATTTAACTGTTTATAAATTATTAAATAAAACGACATCGAGAGCAGAAGAACCATAATCGTATTACTTGAATTTAATTAATAAAATGCGTTTTGGAGTAATATTTTTCATGCACAGTCGTATGCAGTATATAAAACTCGTGCTAACTGACTCTTGACATTATATCATGTATTTTTTACAAAGTACGCAAAAAAGGAACTGTGCGGTCTAAAATAAAAACGAGATATCGATGGCACAGGGTACTGCCAGAAGATGATGCAAAATATGGAATACCGCACAGAGCAAGAACGATCCAGTTATTTACTGTACTATATGTTCATTGTACTTTCACGAACCGTATCAATCACAAAGACTTTGGCACGATCTCTGCATGCATCGTCATATATAATACATGCAGGTGAACGCATAACGTTTGTGCATCTGATATGTGATATTAATATAAAGTGTCTTTGATGCTCAGGAATTGGAGTAACAAGAAAGCGTGTTTCTCATGACAGAAGGAAAGATTTGAAAAAGGTTTATGTCTGATTCCCCGCAAGTGTACGCGTATTTTCTGAAGTATATTTACGTGTCAATCAAACGTTTGCAATGTATAAACTCTGAATGTCTTTTTTTTTTTAACCAAACATAATTTCTATATATATCATTCAAATTATATTAATCGTATCTTAACTTATCATCTAATAATTCTTCGTAGTGTCAAAGATATAAAACATATTTGTGACGAGTTTTAATAGGTTCTTTTCGAGGTGAAGACTACTGCTACTTCAGGCGTGATAAAAACGGGTACAGCGAATCTAATGGATCGCAGTCAAGGATTTATCGAGACAGGGATTTATTACGCTCCGGGGAGACTCTCTCTCGAGAGAATCCGTTTGCATTATATCGAGGTATAACATACAGAAGATAAACACGTTTCAGTACTCTGAGTTCCAAGCGACTCGATGAGAACAATTAATTTATCAAATTTCTCTCATCTTGATACGCATCGCTTTAACGAGATTTAATAAATAGATTACAGTAACTCTTTCACACACATACAAAATATAGACGCGAAAATTGTATTTTATCAGGAATAATTATCTGTAATTCTCTGATATGAATTCTGTACATATCTTAATTGTCTTAAGAAAATATGCTAGTTATCCACTTTTAATATAAGATAAATTTAATACACCCGTTGTTAACTGGAGTTCTTAGAAAGTTTAACAGAGAATAATGTGGCGTAATGTTGTGCATTCACGCGGCATGAGGCATGATGCTGGCGCATCATGCTGCATTCGATATAAACGATGTCTTAGCATTCAGCAGATAAAGTTTAAATGGATGTACCGTCTGCGGTGGATTTGTGATATTCGCGCGGTGTGCTCATTGCGCGATGATAGATATAATGAATTTTCTTACCTAGCAACTGCTTCGCTGTATACGAATCCAGCAGTCGCTCGTCTTACGACCTCGAAGCATAAATCAGAGCCGTCCATACTGAAAACGAAACGGAATATTGAAACAGGAATATCCGGTGATGCGGTAAATGAATATGTTTTAATTTGAATATTTCTCTTGTTCTGTATATCCTATTCGTTTCAGCCGTCGATTGCTAGTTTTTAAATTATCCATTGACAATATTTGAATTAATGACATTTATTTGCCTGTATTATTTACCTGCATGTATCAATCAAATATATATGTGAACATAACATCCATAATACTCAGTTAATTCACAGAAAATTATTGATTAAAAAATATATAATTAATCCATGATGTTATCATTGAATAAGAATTTCTTATAGCAAACAAATAACAGCCCATTAAACTAAAGGAAATAACGACGTGTGGTTGAGTGTCATATTATTTAAATAGTCTCGTTAAAAACGCCTTGAGCACCGGTAGTCTATTAAAAACTGTAGCTATCTTATCCGATAGCATAGATTATTTCGAGAGCACCTCGGATGTGTGTATCCAATTATAAATTATAGCGAACTATAGTAGAACGTTATAATAGATAGCAAACAACTAAATGGAAAACGTGCCTTTCCCGAGTAAAGATAGAGTCGTGAAGGAAATGTCACGTATTTATTTTGCCGAGTCTTTCATTTTCGACAAACGTGATAGTTTTCCATTTCATAGAGCAAAATGTTTCATTAGCCTGAACTAATAATTACGTCAGAAAGATAGAAGAAATAGACTTGTTGGCATATATAAAGGACGAGATTGACGCCTTCCGTTTCAAAAATCGCTTTTCTAAAAAAAAGCCGGTTAAAAGTTCACGATTAAAAGAATATAACTATAATAGTTTATGCTGCATTTTTCTACAGTCTTAATCTTATGAAGCTAGAGATTACTGTGTTTGAACTTATTTCTAGAAATGAATAAACAAATGTTGAACATTGTACAGATAAATTATTGGGATGCGTTTATTTCTATCAATTATGTCTGTCAAATTACGTTGATGCGGTAAATAATACGATATGTTTATCAAAGTATATAATATGTTTGTTTATATGCATACTTACTATTCGAATACCATGTATAACATGCCCTCGGAGCTGTAGGTTTCCAACAGTTCGACAATATGTGGATGTTTCAACATATGACATATTGTGGCTTCTCGTTTCAAATCTGAAACATGCAAAATGTGGTTTTAACGCAAAGCAGACTGGCTTCTACGCATAAAATATTATACATAATGAGAACTAAAATCGCTGAATAATATACATTATTCCAATTGCTTTGAATAAATTTTACCTTACTAGATTTTTAATACAATTTTTGCACACTCACAAAAACATTAAAAATTTTAAAATTTACGGCAGGAAACAATGGGTGCTTCCGAAGAAGCGCTCGGGATTAGATTTTGGTATAACATATGTTACGTGCATTATACCAAAACCTAACCCCGAGCGTCTCTTCGGAAGCACCCACCGTCAAAAAATTTTCAAATAAAAGAAAAGTATAAAAATAAAAAATATGAACGTGTAAAGTATAATAACTTGCGATGATACTGAAACGCGTAAAGATGCATATATAAAAAAAACATTTAAAACTTATAAGATAATTTTTTGCAAAATATATATCTACATGTTGTGTTGTATAACTATAACGTTTCAAATTTCAATATTGCACAAAATTATTAATCTAGCAGGAAATTAATTATCGTGAGTATTATAAACACAGACGTTATATAAATTTGTTATTGCAATGTAGTTATATAAAAATCAATATCTAAAATCAATATAAAAAACAATATATAAAAAAAATAAATAGTTTGTATATCTGTAAAATCAGAATAGATAATTTTAAGCGTATTCCAATTAAACAAAACTATAGATATATCTGGATAGGATACAAAAAACTTCGTTTCCCAGTTTTTACTACAGTCAATTTAGATGCCGTATCTGCACTGAATTGCAATGGAAGCTGCAGTCAAAGCTACGAAAAACAAAACTACGAAAATCGACTGTAATATAACGGAATAGCTCATATTTTTCAGTTGTGTTAAAAAAAAATTGCATTTGCTCAGAGAAATACCCAGCAGAAACTAATTGCAATAGTTTTAAACAAAGACATCAAAATATTAATAATTTTTTATGATAAAATTATTTAATGATAATTTTTTAATAAATTACATTTTCTCCACAATTTTACACGTTATTTTTATAAAAGTAATTATTGATAAAATTTTAATATAGGACATATATATAAAGAGTAGCAAAAGTTATCGCTGCATCTTTCATTAACAAATTCTTCGACTAATATAAGCTACAATATTAACTTTCGCGACAAAACTTATCACAAATTATACATGCTATTTTACAACTTTATAATTAAATATCTTTGCAAAATTAATTGAGAGCAAAATTAAAATCTTGTTAATGTAAACTTTGCTTGAACTTTACAGAAATATAATTTTGCTTTCCATTTGCAAATTAATCCAGCAATACGATTAAATTTTTAATTAAAAAATTTTAACGTATTATTGTTATTGTCAAATATATTTCAGTAAAATATAAAGTTAAATAATTTTAATGTCTACTTTGTCTACTTTTCTTTTTAAATAAAAAAAACCGTGTTGAAAATTAAGAGATAATAACTTATGTGACACAAATTCTTATATAAATACGATTAGATAAATAACTTGTATATTAAAAATGACAAGAATTAAAGGAAATCATAAAGAAGAGAGATGAAAAAAACGAAGGGTAAACAAGAAAACTAATATTTTACGACATCTAGTGAAATGAATATCTTTGCTGTATACATAGTTATGTTTCGCGAATAGAAACGAGACATTATACTCTGTTCGCATATGTTTCCGGATATTTCCATGTGGGATTCCATATAATACCAAAGAGATTCCATATGGTACCACGAATGAACATCTGTTTCTCTATATATACACGTATTACGATGCACTTATGGGAGATGTTCCTGGTATAGAAGCAATTTTCTCTTTTTTCTGACTTATGGCAGAAACCCTATGGAGAGTTTAGAGATTGTATGAAGAGTGTCGTTTCAAAATCAGTTGATTCTATTCAGCTATCGCCTATTTTCTAATAAGCTCTTAGTATACGTTCACAACTGATTCGTTAGTTTCATGCTATCGGCAAAAATTAAATATTACTCTCATTTCCGGAAAAAAGGCGCTTTATTAGAGAAAAACGGTTTTAAAACAATGCGCTCTCCTGCGTATATTTCATCTGGACCTGTCGGCTGGTACGTTCGGGTTAAATCCCCGAAAAATGTGCGCGGCGACGACAATAGTCCGCCTTTCCATTCAATTGCACAACGGCCTTTCGCCGGTTCACAACTCGAATCCATGTTTAGTCAGTCGCGCAGCATTGGGGAAAGCGTACGGTACGTTGTCAGGTGGACGAATAGGGAAGCATAGGCCTTGTTTCGAACACACGGTGGAAATTAATGGGAAGGTATTTACAAGGAGA